GCTCCCGAGAAGGGAGTGGGGGCAGCGACCTTCGGTGGTTTGGGTCTGGGCGCGAGTGTGGGTACGGGCGCGGGTGCAGGGGCGGGTGCGGGTGCAGGTGCAGGTGGGGGGTGGTTGCGGGTTTGGCTCTCCACAATGGCTTGGAGCTCCTGGAAGCGGGCCAGCAGGTCGTCATACTGTTCTTCTGACACCATGGCTGGGGAGGTGGGGGAGGCGGGGGAGATAAGGTTAAAACCTTCTTCTGCTGTCAGGGACGCGTCCGGGGTCGAGAGGGCCTGGGGGTAATATCCGGCACTGAGGCCGTCGCGGGGTGTGGAGCGGGCGTGCGTACTGGCGGGCCCGATCCGGGACAGTGGTCCCTGGCCACTCAGACTGAAGTGGAGAATGTGTTATTATTATTAAAGGGGAAAACTATACTACTTACCTGAAGTGGAGAATGTGAGAAGAAGGTTACTTCTTCGGTTCCCACTTCAGGTACATTTATGTACATGCGGCTTGAGTCACATGACAGGTGCCACGTCATCCTCGGAGGCAGCCGCAGGCATCCGGGTGTCCCCATGGGGGATCCCGAGAGCGTCCGCTACATGCGCGCGTGCTGGGCACAGCGGGAAGCCGTCCAGGGTGTGTGGGCCGGACGGGTCAATAGTACATCGATACAAAGGAAGGTGGTCCGTGTAGATAGAAAGAAATAAGCAAGAAGAGGAAGATGAGAAGAATGAAATAAAGAAAGGGGAAAGAAGAGGGAAAGGAAAGGGGAAAGAAGAGGGAAAGGAAAGGGGAGGAGAGGGAGGAAGGAGGGGGGAGGGGGATAGACAGCGGGGAGCGGGTGTGGTGTGGCCGGGTGGGCCTGGGTCAGGCGGGTGTGCCCTGACAGGAGGCGTGCGAGGACGTCCGAAATGAGTGGGAGGGGGTATGAGTTTTTGACTGTGATCTCGTTGAGCTTCCGGTAATCCTGGACTAGGTGCAACATTCCATCCTTCTTCTTGACAAAGAAGACTGGGGCTCCCATCAGGGATTTGGACGCCCGTATGCGCCCGTTCTGCAGGTTCTTGCACAGGAACTCGTCTAGTTCCTTCTGCTCTGGTCGTGACAGGGGGAAGGTCCTCCCTCTCGGGAGCTTGGCATCTGGCACCAGGTCTATCGTGTGGTCCCAGGGCTTCCGTGGGGGCAGCTGGTCAAAGGCCTCTTTCGAGAATACATCCCGGAAGTCCTGGTACTGCTCTGGGACCAGCGCCTTGAATGGTGCAGGCTCTGCTTCCGGTTTGCGGGCTTCCTGGGCCATCCGCTGAGATGGAGTCGTGGTTGCTCTCAGTTTGTGTCCCCACCCCGGAGGGATGATAGCGGCGTAAATCCCGTCCCCTGGTTCCACTACGGGGTCCTGGTCGGCGTGTCCTCGTGTCGACTGACAGGAGGATGGGCAGCGAGACATACTGACCTTTTGCCGTGTCCAGTCTACCTCTGGGTTGTGGTGCAGCAACCACGAATGGCCTATGATGAGGGACTGCCGCCCTAGGTTTGCGATGGCAAAGTGGGCCCGCTCCGTGTGCCGTCCAAATGTCAGAAGGGCCTCTAGCTCCTCAGTTATGGCCCTGTTCTCGTTTGGGGTCCCATCAACGTTGTGGACAGGGATGGGTTGGGGGAGCGGGGTTGTCTCAAGCCCGTGCTTTCTGACGAACTCGGGGCTCACGAAGTTCCTGGTGGCTCCTGAGTCTAAGAGGGCTGATACAGAGACAGTAGCGAGGGAAGTCAAGGTGGTTAGCTTTACGGCTAGGTTGAGGGATCTGGGGGGTTGCTTCAACAGCACATAGATGGCGGGTGGTGGGACCGCTACCTCCGGCGCCATGCTTGGTATCTCTCTGTTTGAGGACGCGGTTTTCCTCTTTTTCTTGGTGATGACTTGGTGGAATTTAGGCATCAGCGCCGACTTAGGTGCCTCACAGTATCTACACGAGTTGGTACTATCGCCTGCAGGCAGCCGGGACGCGTCCCTCACTGGTCACCTTCCTGAAAATCCTCTTGGGCCTCCACTTCCTGCCCTTCTCCCTCTGCCTCTGGTCTATCTACCAGCTGTCTCCTCAGCCCCTCCATGAGCACTCTGAGATCTTTGGGGTGCATCCGTCTGGCTTGGCGGGTTTTCGGTTGCAGGCAATCCCATGCGATGTGCCCTGGTGTGTTGCAATTGTAACACAGCCCATTTCGCCTCTGGTCGATCCTCAAGTGGTCGAGGTCCATGGATTGTGGCCCTGCTCCTGCTGCAGGGCAGGGCGTGGGGGGCTGGGGTGTGGCGGCAGTGGGTAAGGGGCGTGGCTGCGGGAGAGTGGCAGGGAGTGGGGGTCTCAGGGGCAAGAGTGGGGGCCTGGTGGGGGCTAAGCGGGGTTGCATTGCCTGGAAACGCCGCCACTGGTTGTCAAGGAGGCTGGCCTCGCGTTTCCACTCGGCCCAGGTCGTTGGCATGGGGTGGAGGCAGTAAATGCTTTTGTGGAGCCGGGAGTTGATCGCCTGTTCGAAGCGGTCCACTAGCCCCACGTCCCCTAGCCGCAAGGCGGGTCCAAGGATCTCAAACTCCTGGATGATCTTATCCACGGAGTTGCTGCCCTGCCGCAGAGTGGCCAGCTTCTGTCTGGCTGTGGCCTCCCGGTTCGGATCTTGGAACATGGCATCGAGTTCCGTGTTGAACTCATCCATGGTGAGTCGGGGGGAGCCCGTCGTCAGTAGCACAATGGTGCGCTGCATCGCCCACGCCCCTGCAGTCCCTCCCTTCATATAGGACAGGACAAAGAGGATCTGGGAGAGGGGGTTGGGGAATTCCGCTGCTCGGATGTGGAGATATATGCCGCATTCGGCCTTGAAGCGGTCAAGGTCTTCGGCTGCTCCAGAGAAGGCAGTGGGGGGGGCGACTTTAGGCGGTTTGGGTCTAGGGGCAGGTGCAGGTGTTGGTGCGGGGACCAGTGGCGGTGCAGGCACGGCTGGGGGTTGGTTCTGAGCTTGGCTTTCTACGATGGCCTGGAGCTCGTGGAATCGGGACAGCAGTTCATCGTACTGCTCTTCGGTTACCATAGCGGGGGAGGTGGAGGAGATGAGGTTGAAGCCTTCTTCTGCTGTCAGGGACAGCTCCAAAAGCGGCGAGGTCCCTGCGCACGGGACTCGGTGGGACAAATAGCGGCTGTGCGTAGTGGCGATCCCATCACGGGGTGAGCGTCCCCAACCACTTAAGCTGAAGTGGGAAGTTGAGAAGAAGGCTGCTTCTTCTGTTCCCACCCCAGGCACTATTATATACATGTGGCTAGGGTCATGTGGAAGAAGCCACGTCATCTCCGCACACAGCCACACCTCCCTGGGTGTCTCCGTGGGAGATCCCAGAGGTGGCCGCTCAGTAGGCAGGAGTGTGCGCGGCACGTGCGGCGATCAGGGGGGCAGGGTCAGGTATATAGTAGTACATGGAGAAAGGGAAATCGACTGTAGAATAGAAATAGAAATAGAGATAGAGAGAAGGGGGAAAATGGGGGAGGGGAGACGGGGAGTGATAACGGGGTAGTGCGGTACGGTGCAGGGTGCGGCGCGGGGTCAGGCAGGTGTGCCCTGACATCAAGTAGATGTGGACACTCACCTGGACTTGGTGATGCAATCGATCAGGCATGTGAGAAGATGGGAACCGAGGATTCAGTGCAAGATATGACAATAGGTTGCACATAATAAAGCACTCAAACTTGTGCTGCAATTCATTTTCATTGCGGGAGAAAAGTTGAGATGGATCCAAATGGTCAAACAAGTGCCTTAGGGCATATTTGACATGTCCAGGAAGATTCCTGAGTTGTTCCTGAAAATTCTTCCATTTGTTCGCACCTCCAGATGACATCTCCATGGGGATGCCATACAGGTTCCAATCGATGATGTCATTCACAAGTGCAAGGAGTCAAAAGCCGATGAAGTATCCCTCCACATCATCAATGAAGAAGTCTTGTCAGTGACAATGGGGTTACCAGTGATAAATTCCCTTGCTGTTGCATGGTAGAAATCAATGGTTTCAGTGTTGTCCAAGGGAAGATTGAGTATGGAGGTGATCAGCTCCAAAGACTTCCACACTTTATCCTCTGTCATCTCCAGGAGCCATGACAGGGAATGTGTGCTGTTCACCTGTGGATCATATGCAGCGATGATCATCCCTGTTAGAACTGGGTGAGGGCAGACAATTCCAGAGGGGAACTGGAGACTTAGCAAGGAGGGACCTTGGCCTCAGCGACTCATGCAGAGCACTGTGCCATTGCTGTTTGTCCATTTGGTCCTTAATTTCAGAGGCAGTGAGCAGGAAGTCTCTAGGGGGCATTTCAGGTCGATTTTAGACTGAGGGCCTAAAATGAGTATGTACAAGCACCTGTATATAATAGAGAGACAAATGCACAAGGAAGTCAAAGGGGGTCTGAATTGGAACAAAGGTGTCCAAATGGGGACAAAGGGATGATGGAAGCAGAGCAGCACCAAAGGTCATAGGTTAGAACCTGTGGTACATCTGAAAGGAGATAGGGAGGGTGAAGCCCAGAGGGGCAGGAGGATGAGGTGAAGTGGGGATGATGACTAACTGGCTAAAATGGAGAGAAGCAGCAGTCCAAATAAGGATGAGGGGAAAGTGCAAAAGATACATTACAATCGGCGAAAGTGCTGAGTAAGGTCCATGGAGCTTGGAGGTTGTGGAGCTTATGGAGGTTGCGGAGGTGGGGTTGAAAGTCCAAGGAATGTTGGCAATGGTGTTTACATAGTATGAGGTCACCAATGCAATGGACTAAAGCCAAGGTGGAGTCAAAGTCCGAGGTCAGAACTATGATGGAATCTCGGAGCGAAGGTATGAGCGGTGTCCAAGTACAGGGTATGGGACAGTGGTGGAAGGTCGTAACTTGCCAGAGGTTTGGTGGAAGAGGGTCAGAGGAAGGAGAGTGATGAGAGGAGTGGGGAGAGGAGTGGGGAGAGGAGTGGAGGAGGAATGGTGTCAGGTCCGAAGGCAAGTATCAGAGCAGACGGAAGTAGGGTAGGAGAGGGATGGAAGGGTGGAGGTGACATGAGGAGTGAGGAGGAGTAAGAGGAGGAGGGTGGTGAGAGGAGTGATGTTCGGTCCGAAGGTGAATATCGGAGCAGATAGAGGTAGGGTAGGACTCCAGAGGTGATGAAGATGGGGGTCCGGGAGTCGGATCAGGATCGGGTATGTATGGATATGACAATCCCCATGACTTGGCAGTAAGTGTCAGCAACATGGGGATGGATTTCAGAATTGAACATGTACACTTGTACCCACAGGTATTCAGAATGAACATCGGTAGGCGCATCTTGGAGATTGCAAAAGTATTCAAACTTGGATTGAAGGTCAGCACCATGTTGAGTCAGATGCAAACATCATGAATCCATATTTCAGCAATAATGGGCAACCCACAACAAGCTGAGGTGAAAGAATGAAGGTGTCATTCTAACAGTTTCCACTCTGATTTTTGGATACAGTCAACGAGCTTCTCCTGGACCATCCTCAGGATGGTGGGGTTGTGCTTGTAATTATCCAGATCCTCGCAAGGAAGGTTTCTGTAGGCAGGACCAAATTTTGCAGTCGAAGCCAAAATTATTTGTGTTTTTGGACAAGAACCAACAAACACTGCAAAGTTGATCGGTAGACCATCCAGCAGTAGCACAGCCTTCATCAAGTTCTCAAGTGTTTCCTGATCCCCACATTCATCTAAGCTGTCAAGAATGATAATGAAGCATTTCTCGCTCAACAGCCACAACTCCTCCAGATCACACATTGGGCTGATGATGAGAGCCTTCACTTGCTCTGAAGCTAATTCTAGGTCCTCCCACTGAAGATGTTTTACAAGTGACAATTTGAAGTCCTCACTGAAGATTGCAAGTTGTTGCGCAAGTGTAGATGGAAACATTTCAGCGGAGTCGAGCCCACTGTCTTTTTGATTCTTATCCCAGAAGAATGACACTGCCAGTCTTCCTTGATTAGCAAGAGTCGAAGCGATGCTTAGAGAAATTGCGGTCTTGCCAGTTCCAGGAGAATCGTGTGGCCAGAAGCATCGGTTTTGGACTTCTCCCAGATGTTCAAGTACAGATTGCCGCATCACACCCTGTGTGGTTCAAAGGCACTCTGATTTACTCTGGATGTGCTTGTAATCAACAGGGAGTCGTGTGAGTTTCCAAAGTTCCACTGGGGATAGCATTGATTAGAAAGTTTGGTGCATGAACATGGAGGCGTACATTGCGTGAATAAATGATGAGTGTGGAGGAAGTCCAAGGTAGAAATCCTCAACTTCATGGAAAAGGCTGGGTTGGGCTACCATTGTAACAGCATTAGTGGATCGAACATACCTGGAAGCGGGTGTTACAGGAATGGGTTCCGGGGAACCCAACCTGAACTGTTCAGCTCACTAATGGAGGTGGCTGCATAGCCATTGTGTTAGAACTGGGCGGATTCGGACGACTCCGGAGTGGAATCGGAGACTTAGCGTGGAGGGACCTTGGCCTCAGCGACTCAAGCGGAGCGCTGTGCCATTGCTGTTTGTCCATTTGGTCCTTAATTTCACAGTAGGTGAGCAGGAAGTCTCTAGGGGGCATTTCAGGTCGATTTCAGACTGAGGTTACAAGTTACTAGGTACATTGTATATAAGGAGGGGTCCGGAATCAAAAGGAACAAGGGTAGGACAAAAGGAGACAAAGGGAGATGGAAAGAGGAACAACACCGAGGGTCAAGTGTTTGACTCAATGGTGTTTCCCAAAGGAGGAATGAAGGGCCAAGGCCCAAGAAGGAAGGAAGGAGGATGGGAGTCGGGAATGGCTAGCTGACTGAATAGAAGGAAGCAGCAGCCCAAATAGGAATGAGGGAGAATAGCGGAATTGAAATGGACAATGCAATAGTTGCAAGGTCCGGAGTAAGTCCGGAAAGTCCGAACTCGGAGGTTAAACTCCGGAATATTGGCAAAGGTAATTAAATGGAATGAGCTAACCAATACAATGGGTATAAGCGGAGGTGGGGTCAAAGTCCGAGGTCGGAGCTAAGACCGGAGGTTCCAGAGACGAGACGTGAACGGGATACCGGAGCGGAGGTCCGGAGTTGGGAGCATAGGTTTTGTGTACTCGTCTGGAAGGTGTCGAGGTTGGGGTCGGACCCGGAATGTTCCGGAGTCGGACCGAAGGTGGTGTCCGAGCCAGAGGTGGGATAACCTCTTGGGAGTCGGCAAGGAGAAGGTGATGGAAGGGAAGTAGGGCTCCGGAAGTCGGAGTTCGGAGTTCCGGGATCCCGGAGCGGAGGTCGGGATTGTATGGATATGACACATTGGAGGGAGAGCGGAATGGGATGAGTGTCTGGAAGAACAACCTGTGGGTTGGCCAATGGTAACTTGGCACTCCTGGGAGCATACCGGTAGCAAGTATGATGTGGGCTCCTTGAGGGAGCCACCTGGCTGTCTGCTAACGGGGACTTGGCACTCCTGGGAGCATGCCGGTAGTGGGTGTGCTGGGAGTGGTTGGCTAGCGGTGACTTGGCGCTCAATGGAGCATACCGGTAGTGTGGGATACTGGGACTCGCAAAGGGAGTCACCCAGTTGGTGGCTATTGGTGACTTGGCGCTCACAGGAGCGTACCGGTAGCAGGAGTTGTTGGGGAAAGCGGGCTGGTGGACCAGTGCATGGTAGTGGGTGACCATGGGAAGTGGGACCCGCAGGTGCGTGGCCAGGCATCCTGGAGCTGCCTGGACCATATCCCTCTCCTAGGGAGGTGGGATAGGTTACAGTTCCTGACAGGGAACTCCTGGTTGGATGGGAGTGACCACTCAACTGTTGGAGGAACCGTGTGCTATGGGAGGCCGGATGAGTTTTTGTACAGCCACATTCCCACACCCGAGCAAGGAACTCGCCCAGACAGCCACATTCCCACGGTAGTGTGACTACTTGGTCACAACACCTTTTCTTCTTACTTATTTTGGTCACTTCGGACTTATCCGCAAAGTCCACAAACTATATTCATTCATTTGGATTAGTTTCCTTTTTCCCTCAGTTCTCGCACATTAGCTTGAGACTGAGGTTAGTTACAACATTCTTTTACTCTTATTCCTTATACATTGTAACTCATTGTATATTACCTTATAGCTTTAGCATTAGAGCAAGCGGTTATTCCGTTATCAACCACCTGGTGGACTGGGGGGAGCGGGCAGCAGGAGGTTGGGCATGGGAATGCCCTCCTCATTGCGGTTTTGTCATGGAGAGGATGAATAGGGAGGTGGACATGGTTCCAGGGCTACAGGTTGAGTTTACAGTGGTGGCACAATGGTGAGGATGTTACAATCGCAGTACAAGGTTTGTGGGTTATGTATTTGATAATGAGAAAACATCTTGGCAATTACCATACATGTCATATGACTTGTATCTATCTAATACAAATGTTATAATGGCCAAAGGAAGTCCCTTGGAAATCAACAAATCCCCCAGCCAGCACCAAAACCTAGTGGGACAGCTTGGCATGGGGTTTGGCAGAGAATGAAGTTGTCAGAGACCAGATCGAGATGAAGGAATGTCTCCGCGGTGGAGGGCTTTGGCCTCAGCGACTTATGCCAGGAGCGCTGTGCCAAGTAACACATCCATGCCCTAACTTACTAACTGGCAACCAGAACTAAAGGGGGTCAACTCTAGTCGATTTTATTACTGAGGTGTAACCTATTTACAAGTCAAGTATATTTAGTTACAGCAGGGGCAGGCCCGTAAACGACGGGGCTGAGTGGAGCAGAGCTAACAGGGTTAAACATTAGCCAATTGAATATTACCAACAAGTCGGGTTACAGGGTTAGCAGAATGGTAGGCGATAACCCAGAAATGGAAAGGAGGGATAGGCCTGAAGGTGGGCTTGCAGGGCAAGCGAATGTATTGCCCAGCAGATGTGGGGGTGTGCTAGTGGACGTCGGAGCTGTCCGGAAGCCTTTGGGGCTCCATACTTAGGGAGGCATAGGTAATATATTTAAAAGAGGGGGTGGTGACCATCAAGGGAAGTGGAGGTGATTGTGGAATGCGGGAGCTCTGAGGTTAGTGAAGAAGGAGCGGAGGTAGTCCAGAGAGATCGGAGGTAGTGGAAGTTGATGGCCATGGATGGATATGACAGAAGTGAGAAGAAGTAAGAAATATCTTACCTGTGTGCCTGGTCTATAGGAGTCTAGGCCCATTTCCATAGCAAGGGGCCTCAAGGTCTGGTTGCCTGTCACGGACCATAAGATTCTCCATTTCCATAACAGCGAGATATAGCATCGTTTAGGCAGGTCTTCATGGCAGTGATTTGCTGAGCTGTATCGGTCACTTGAACAGTCTTCTTGACAACATTTTGGCCCAGTAGCATAATGATATTCCCAAATTGTCTTTCCAAGACCCTGCATGATGAATTCAATGAAGGGAATGAACAGGGATTAGACATGTACCTACAGAAATTGGACACTAGTGTCAGGGCCCGGCCTCGGACTCGGAGGCTCCCTGACCTCAACCCCCATCTGGCCTGTCCTCACACTATGCGGGGCATGAGATGTATAGTAAAAAGGAAGAGAGTATATACACTTGCCTATGCGGGGCATGAGATGAGAAGAAGGGTAAAGGTCTCATCTCCCCGCATGGTTGCTATATAAAGGAATGGGTCACATGCCCACAACTATACAGCTCCTAGAGTTGTGTAGTGTGACCCGGAGGGAACATCCAGGTGGCAGTGCCCAGTAAGCGTGGGAACGTTCTGGGCGAGCTGCTCGCTCAGAAAGTTCCCACGCTATCCCGTGCGCGCGTGTACACAACACACAAAGGCAACAACAAGGCAACAGTCAAAGAATAAAAGGGGGTAAAGTAGGTGGGGAGTCCGGGGCACCCTAAGGCAGGGTGCTGAACCCTGACAACTAGCGTCTCCAGTCCTGATGGCCTGTCACCGCACCAATTCTGGATGGGTTCCACCATCAAGTGCCATGCTTCCTGAATCCCTTTGCACAACCCATCTAGGCCATCAGCGTTCCCTCAAACAGTCTGACAGAGGCTCAGTATCAGTGACCAACCCTAGATAATCCACAAACCTCGTAGATTTGAATCCAGCTCAGAAGCAATGTTGGGATCTCGTTGAGGTGTGCGACAGGAACAAATTTGAGAACAGAGGTTGCAGTTTGCAGGGAAAGTTTCATCACACCAAGGACCGTTTTCGTCCCATCACCAGCCGAGGCAGTGGATGATGAGTCTGACATGGGCACTGCCAAATAATCCTTTTTTTGCAACTGGCTGTGGATGGAAAACTGCTTTATCACCACTGATGGTCGATGTGTTGAACATTGAAGGGACTTTGCAGGAGAGATGGAGTAGATTTTGACTCATCAGGAGAATGCTGAGTGACACTAGGTCTCATGCCAGATTCTTGAACTGAACTGGCATTGCTCTCTGAATTGGCCTCATTGCTGTCATATCCGTGCATACCCGACCCCGACTTCCGGACCTCCACCCTCTTCACCTCCGGAGTCATACCTTACCGCTGCCATTCCGATACTCACCTCCGGTCCTGGCAACACACCTCCTCTCACCCCCCACGCCGCCTCTGCTCCTCCTTCCCTCTCCTCCCCTATCTCCGTCCGCTCCGATACTCACCTCGGACCGAACGCCGCCCCTCTCGCCACCCTCCTACTACTCCTCCTCCTCCTACTCCGCTCCTCCTCCGCCACCCTTCCGCCAAGTTACGACCTTCCACCGCTGTCCCGTACTTCGCACTCGGACACCACTCGTACCTTTGCTCCGAGCCTCCGTCATAGTCCCTACCTCGGACTTTGACTCCACCTCGGTCTTAGTCCATTGCATTGGTGACCTCATACTATGTAAACACCATTGCCAATATCCCTCAGACTTTCAACCCCGCCTCCGTAACCTCCGTAAGCTCCGCAACCCCCGAGCTTTGCGGATCGCCTTCGGCACTTTCGCCGCTTGTAATGTATCCCTCGCGTTTTCCCCTCATCCCTATTTGGACTACTGCTTCTTCCTATTCTAGCCAGTTAGTCATCATCCCCACTTCCCCTCATCCTCCTGCCCCTCTGGGCCTCGCCCTCCCTACCTCCTTTCGGACGTATCAC